ACAGTATAAAAATTAATATTGTAATTCAAAAGTGTGTGTATATATATATATATATATAAAAATATATATATATATATATATGTATATGTATACCTTTGCAATTGTATTATACTTACCGATGTCATTATAATTATACATGTATATTAAAAAACTGGACATATATAGCATTATATTTTATTATTTAGATATATAAAAAAGCAATATATTAAATTAATCTTTTCGATGTTTATGTCGCGTATACTCGTCATGAAACGATTGCTCTTTTTTGTTTGAGAACGAGTATCTTTGCCATATAGTAAAAACAATTTACATTTGCAGGTAAAGTAATATTTAAGTAAAACAAAAACCATATGTAATGGTAACACGATTTAGAATTCTTTAGGACAAACAAAAGACAACATAAAATATTTTATTTTGTACTTTTTTTAACGCATTAATCAAATTGGTATCAATTGTAATTATATATAAATGTTTTATGAAATAATACGATAAAATAATACAATTTTATAATAAATATGTGTAATAAACATAGTATAAAAAAACATTTTAAAAACTTTGTTAGTATTATTATATTGGTTTTGATGTGTGTAACGCTTCAACAATTTAAAAAATATTTAACTGAACAGTGGCTCTTAGAAGCAGACACAAATGTAGAGGTGTAAATTTTGACTTTGTTTATTATAAAAGTAAAAGTAGAACGTTTTTCAGTTCTTACTTGTACGTTGCGGCCTCACTAGAACATTTATAGTCTGTCGACACCAGCGTTAATTACCAACACTCTTTATTGTATTAAAAATGACCTAAACCACAGGTCAAAAACGTTCTACTTTTACTTTTATAATAAACAAAGTCAAAAGTTGCACCTCTACATCTGTGTCTGCTTCTAAGAGCCATTGTTCAGTTAAATATTTTTTATTATATTGGGTTGGTGAAAAAGTTCTGCGGATTTTTAGTATAAAATTTAAACACAAAATCGACATTTATAAAAATTAATTTAGTCCACAATGTGTTGACCGTCTTGATCTAAAACTTGTTGCCACCGTTTCGGTAGGACCTTGATGCCGCTCTCGTAAAACCCTTGGGACTTGTGGGCGAAAAAATCAACGAGGTGATTTCGGATGGCCTCCATTGAGTCGAATTGACCGTCAACATTGTTTTGCAGCGAGCGAAACAAGTGATAATCAGACGGTACAAAGTCCGGCGAATATGGTGTTGCATCATTTCCCAGTAAAAGCTCTGCAATTTTTTTTCGTGATCAAAGAAGTATGTGGTCGAGCGTTGTCATAATGGAAAATCACACCTTTTCTATTCGACAATTCTGGCCGCTTCTCTTGCACTACCTTGCGCAATTTGTTGAGCTGAGCGCAGTATTTCTTCGAATCTATTGTTTGGACCTGCGGGAGCAGTTTGAACCACAGCACTCATTTATAGTCCCACCAAATACATAGCATTACTTTCTATGGATGCAAATTAGGTTTTGCCAAATTAGGTTTTGTTTGTGAAGACTCGCCCGGACCGCACCACGACTTCCGCCGCTTAATGTTGTTGTAGACAACCCATTTCTCGTCTCCAGTGATGATCCGTTTCAGAAATGGGTCTAGAGAGTTTTGTTTCAGGAGAGATTCACACACTAAAATCCGATCCATGATGTTCTCTTCGCTCAGTTCGTGCGGCACCCATACATCAAGCTTTTTCATCATGCCAAGCTTTTTTAATCGATCCATAACGGTTGTATGATGAATGCCGAAACGCTTTGCAATCTCTCGAGTCGTTAAGTGTCGATCACTCTTCACTGTAGCCAGAAGTTGGTCGTCAACAGAATTTGGCCGTCCAGAGCGTGGTGCATCTTGGAGGTTAAATTCTCCAGAACGGAAGCGAGCAAACCATCTTTTGCATGTGTCGGCGCTTAAGGCCAAAGCACCATACATGGCGCATATTTCGCGCTTAGCGTCCGCCGCTTTATATTCTTTACGGAATAAAAACAGCAAAATATGGCGAAAATGCAATTTTTGATCTTCCATTTTAGTTGTATGCCGTACACGTAAAACAAACACTTCTGCCAAATGTCAAGCGTAGTGTGACTTGTCAAAATATGTGCGGCAGACTGACATTTGAACGACACGCAATAATTATTTTCTGACACTAGTGTCATCTATTAAAAAATCCGCAGAACTTTTCCACTAACCCAATAATTTATTTCGATTTTACAACAAATGCACTTACTCTGTTTTTGCTAACTATACTCGTCGCAGTTGAAAAATTAATTTAAGCATACAAGTGTATGTTCTCTGAATGAAATAAAACAAGAGTTAGAGAGTTAAACATATATTATATTTATTATTATTTCTCTATAGAAACTTACGCTTCCGGCGCAATACGAAGTAGGCGTGGTGTTAGAACGCAAGTGTGAAAAGATGATGCAAGTGTGTTAAGATTGGAGAAAGTGAGAGAGGTGAAGAGAGAAAAAGGTGGAGTGGCGAGTGATTGTAAGGGTATGGAGAGCGGGAGAGAGTAAGAAGAGAGAGGGCGGTATCAGGGTGCGAAGGGTGGAGGTCGGTTTATGACACTGAACTATATACATACTGGAAGAGGCACTGCCATGCTACGTACGTAAGCGGATTGCGAGCCTGCGATAGATAGCTATGTCGTGTATCAGTGTTTCGCTCGCACGTCTCTGCACATGCGCATATGAGCGGTAGTACAGGCAGGCTAAAAAGTGTACTGTGCGCGTCTACTTCGGTGCTTGACAGACAAGTTCGAGCTTGCATAACGTAAGAATTCGCATA